CCACGCCGCTCCCAGGCACGCTCCGCGCCGCGGGGCTGCTCCTTCGCTCATTAACGGAGATCGCCAAGCGGAGTTGAGAGTCTGAAGAGCAAAATTGTCAGCTTTTGCTTTGATATAAAAGCACCGGGAGCGGTGACGCCGGCTGGCTGCGCTCCCAGCAGACAGACAGACGGACGGACAGACAGCGGGGCCGCACGGGAAGCTCAGCGCTCCACCTCCTCAAGGTGCGGGCAGCCCCCGAGAGCTGTTAATCGCTCTTTATTCCCCCCAAAAGTAAGCGCTGGGGCAGATAAAAAGATGGAGGGATGTTTCTAATCAGGCTTCCAAGATAATACAGGGTAATTGTTAACAGCAAGCCGAGACCGCGGTGAGGGAGATAAAAGGGAATCCTGCCAAGGGGAACTCGAGCAAAGCTTCTACCACCAGACAAAACACAAATCACCGAAATTAATCGCTCTTTATTCCCCCCAAAAGTAAGCGCTGGGGCAGATAAAAAGATGGAGGGATGTTTCTAATCAGGCTTCCAAGATAATACAGGGTAATTGTTAACAGCAAGCCGAGACCGCGGTGAGGGAGATAAAAGGGAATCCTGCCAAGGGGAACTCGAGCAAAGCTTCTACCACCAGACAAAACACAAATCACCGAAAGCAAGTGCGAAACTGCAGAGACAAAACCTCGCTCCTTGTGGAGATTTATGAAATTTTCAAAATGCGAGATCCTAAGAAAAGCCTGGAACCAGCATTATTTGGTGTTACCCAAGAATCAGTCGTCGCGGGGTGCTGAGCTCGGCAGTCCTAATTTCGGAAATCTCAGCGGAGAAAGCACGGTAAAACCTTGGTGACATCCTTCTGAGGAGAAGCATTGCTCCCCATGCCGGTGACACAGGTTGTCCCTCCCCAGCCCCAGCGGTCCCCAGCTCTGCTGGACACGACCCCGGGCAGACCGACCTCGCTCGGGAGCTGGACCCACCGCGAGCAGGGGTCTCACCCCGGCCACCTTCACAAGCCCCCCCAATCTCCATTTTTCTGCAACCCTATGAAAACCACGAAGTTTTGAGGTCGGTGAAGACAAAGAAACACAGGATACCACTTCTGGCTGGCAACCAACCACCCGCCGTGGAGCAGAGCCCCCACGAGCGGCTGGGAGACCACAAAGCGTGCAGCTGTGACAGACGCCACGTCTCATCCCAGCTCCCTCCCTTCCCCCGCCGGCCTCCGCGGGCTCCGTTCACGGCCTGTGCGGACAGACGGACGGACCCAGAGGCAGCCCGCAGCCCACCTCCTCCCCTGGACCACCGCCACGATGGGACTACAGGAGATGCCTCCGGTGGGGTGGGCCGGCTTGAAGAGGGACAACCTGGCTACCTTGATTACTTGGCTTGACTTCTTGAAGCCAACCTCTCGTTTTACCGTGTCAAGAAGCAGACAAGGTAATGATCAAAAGCTGATGGTTTGGAGGATTTTTACCATGTCAGGAAGCAGACAGGGCAACGATCAAAAGCTGATGGTTTGGAGGATCTTTACACTGAAGTGTTGAATTCAGATGCAAAGAAAAGGTGCCACAAAGTCCACCACCGCTTTACCACGGACATTCTGATACGAAGTTTTATTTATGTTTTTAATATTGGCTCCAAAAAATAAAAAAGATTTCCTCGCATTCCCTCTCCTCCAGGTTCTCAAGAGATCTGGAAGGTAACCACCTATGTCACGTCTCACAACCGAACGACAAAAACTGCCGGTTCTTCTCTTCTCCTTCACATCCCACGCTGTGATCAGTCTTGCTTGTTGAGACTTGCAGCTTTTTTCCCTGCCAACTGGCCAATTCCAGCCTTGCTCAGTGAGCAAGCCCAACCCTACA